CTGACCAAGTGCTGTTTTTCGATTGGATCACGGGCTCATCCCAGGTGAACTTGTTGAAAACAGGGCAGGATTGTTCGGAAGCGGGTTAACGCTAACCCAGGATTAAAAGTTAACCACATTATAACTTTTTCTTCTGTACAAATGTTTTTTGCTGCTTTGTTTTGTGTATATAGTGATTATTAAAACTCAAAACAGAAGGTCAAACAATATACAGAAAACCTCAATGCAAAGTTACAAAACTCCAATCAAAATTCTACCTTTTTTTTGGGTTGGCTTAATTTGGGTTACCTGGCACAGGAGCTACGCTTTTAGGCTGGCCTAAATCTATATATTACTAAAACTTAAACCATCTGTAAATGTGCAAACAGACTTGATTCGTGCAAAGGTATTCACTTGAAGAACTTGTGAGCCTTTGTTATTATGCTAATTTGTAGAGACTGTAAAAGCATAGAAATCAGCTTCGCATTAATTTATTCACTTTGCCTTGAGAATGGTGTCAGGATGACGCTGAAACATCGGCTATTAACTCTAATATTTGCTTGTTTATGTTTTTAAAAGTCGTTGTTGATCAAGAATTAAATTCCATTTGTCATTTATCTGAGTTTCGTGTCAGTATGATAAATTATGTAATGTTTTGTATTCCTTTAAGAATCCACAAGGATAAATCTTTTCACTGTGAGGTGTGTAATGTCTGTCTTGATAAACGTCTTGAAGGAAAACATAAGTGCAGAGCAGATTCTGGACACGATGAATGCTGTATCTGCCTAGAGGTGAGTGGTCATTGTATCGTAACTTTCCCGCCATAGGAAACTGACTTTTCTGGCATGTGCAACTCGTGCTTGCAAAGTTTGTGTTTTCTCATTGCATGTTGCCCGCGTTTTCCTGTCGTAGAAAATTCAGGTTTTCGCGCCATAGAAAATCCGGGTTTTCCCACTGCACGAGACTCAATTGTCCCTCTGCCACACTCACCCATTTTTGTCTCACTTACTTGTTCTTTTCTGGCAAATGAATCTTGTGTATTTCTTGCATAGAGAGTTTGTACTTAGTTGCTGGACACATATTGTTTGCCCACCATACAAATCTCGTGTTTTCTTGTCATAGATACCTTATCGCACACTTTCCTGTTGAGGTACCTTTCACGTGCCTCTTGTGTCTTGTTCACCACTCTGATTATGTTATCTTATTATCGTTGTTTTGTGTAGGATGCGTTCAGTGGTTGCCAAATCTTACCTTGTTCACATAAGGTACATCGGGAATGCGCCATCGCTATGATACAGAACGGAATGTAAGTACACCTAACATACTGTGGTAATTAGTTCTTTTTGGTATAATATGCTTTTTTAGTTGAAACCGCATTCGCTCTTGGCTTCTCAGGGGATTCATTACACTTGACTTGTGTATTGAGCAGTCAACTCTATTTTATTTCAATAGAATATGCAGATTTTCTCAGTTACTGCTAATTTTACTATGGTGGTTTCGGATAATCCACACCACCTTGTCCTTCCTTGGAATGGATGGTATAAATATCTTTTACATAGTTTATCTTCTATCATTACCACCAATTTCATTGATACGTGACCCTCAAATCAAAACTCCTGCGAACATTTGTTGATTTGCTTTCATCAGTCATGCGCTCCTTATATGGTGCTATGGGGGGATGCTGCCCTTGTTTTCGAAAATGTGGCGGCCACTACTCCATAGCCTGTTCCTTCAACATTGTTGCTTGTTATTCTTCAAGTTTCTGTTGGCAAGTGGTGTATTTGCTCATGCTGAGGTTTAGCGTTAGCATTATATTAAGATCTCTTCACAAACCTACCGTCCATTTGTGAAGAAAATTTGGGGAATCTACAGAAATAGCTCCACGGTTGATTTTCCAGCCCAGACGGGAAAAGCAGGAGAAATGGACAGTAGGTTATAAAAGAATCGCATAGTTGGCATAAATATACAGAAATATATTTATTTATTAACAAGTTTATTGCAAGTTACAAGTGAAACTCACTGCTACACGAAGGTATGTACCAGACCTCACTGCTTTTGTTGTGTAAAACAAGTTGTTCTGATGCTAACTAGGTGTATTTACTTGACAAAAGCAGCGAGGTCTGTATCAAAACAAGGTCAACCCGAGCTTCGCTGCCATCCAAAGGCCAGGTCACTGAGCAGACAACTGTAAAATGGTCTATTTTACCATTAAAGGAAAACAGTCTGCTTTGGGACCACGCTGACCTGGACACTATTTTTCTCACTTTGAAAAAATTTCACCTCAACCTAAAATCAAAGTACATCTAGAAATCCGCTTCAATCTTTGCAGTGTTCTTCCTGATTTTCAATCGTTCACTGAAAAACCTGTTTTTGAGTGTGCTTTTGCTCAATCCTATGATATTATTTTTATCATATTTGGTTAGAAACAGTATGGATCGCGTCTCTGTGATATGCAAATTAACTATGAAATGGTATCTAATGCGCATGTGCTCCAGCTGATTGTGTGCCTCTAAAGCAGGAGCCCATCACTATTAGTGTACAACTACCCCAATTATTCCTGTCCCGGCGTTTTCACAGACCAATCTACTTTTCGTTTGAATTTACCGTGAATTCAGCCCTCTCCCCCACCCCCAGGAACCTCAGTGACCAATCACAAGCATGGATAATTTCACCAGAAGATTAGGTCGACATGTCCACCTGAGGCCGCCATTTTTCTCCTTACCGATTCGTGCTCATATAGACCGGAACTGACCTTTTTCGTGGGAAAAGAAGCCAAAAAATAGACCGTTCTGTAAAAATACCATGACTTAGGCTTAGTATGGGAGTTGCAGACTCCTAGTGCTGGGCTCCTGACCAAAGTTGACTCAAGGGTACAAACATGAAGTGCTAACAGCATATCGCAATGCACGTAGTGCATATTAGGGCGATTTCTGAAGAGTATTTTATTTGGCAAGTACAAGAAAGATGAAGACTTCTGTTTTATGATAAGGCAGAAGCCCATAATGGGCTCCTGGATATGGCTCAAACTGTCAGAAAAAATCTTGAGTTGCCATTTGGCAACTAAGTGATAACAATCAAGTAGGAATTTTACTCAGAAAAGAACACAATGCATAAAATCAGTAAAGAAAAAAATTCTTTTTTTTTTGGCCGCTAATTTTGTGTTCGCAGCCAATGTAATATCTGTGAAGGATTCATGCCTTTCAAAAGACACAATCGGTAGGCATACACAACCTTCTCAGTGCTCAAGGGTTTACAATGCATTATAGGGTGATTTCAAATACAAGCAGCCATTTGCAAGTTTTCCGATGTGAGGGAATCCTTTACAGCAAAGCAAAAGAATAGATTGCTTTCTTTTCTTATGTTGAATGTTATAGAAGCAAAGGTCATTCACTATGTAGTTCTGGAAGGACATAATGTCTGAGAAAGTAACCGTTATTGATCGTCAACACAGAGAAACGTAGTCGCCATTATGGTAGCCTTTGAATGCAGACGTAATTTCGGCTGTCGACCAGAATTTTTGGCCACCAAAGATAAAAATTTTAGCCGCAGTGGCAACCGTACCGATCGCAATTTTGAGTCTTTTAACAATGTATTTAACCAAATTTTATTGATGGACAATAACTTGGTGTTGGTAAAATGTTTGGACATCATGTCCGATCATAATGTGAAATTGGCTGGACATATTCAAAATTTGGTCGGACAATGTCCGATGACTGACTGTTATTTCCAGCCCTGCTCAGGCTTAACCCCTGCACCAGCAAATATACCACGAGCAAATGCACCACTCGCCAATGTAAACTTGAAGAATAACAAGCAACCATGTTACGTTGAACGAACAGGTTACAGAGTGGCAGCCATATTTTTAAAACCAGATGCAGCATTCTTATAGCACCACATAAGGAGCGCATGATTGACAGAAGCGAATCGCCAAATGCTTGGGGAAGTTTTTATTTCAGGGTCGCGTATCAATGAAATTGGTGGTAAGGCAAACTGGTGGCTGTTTTCCAGTTTGTTAAAAAGTAGGTACAAATCTGGTACAAAGCTATTATTTTCATTTTGTGAGCAAATGCATCAGTGAAAGGTTACGTAAGAGTTGAGTAAACTGTGAAGTCGGCCCCCATCAAAAGTCATCTTGTTTTCATTGGGATGAGGTGACGAGGTGTATTGCCTCTCCCCTCTTGATGGGATGCTTGTCAATCACATATTAAGCCCTGGCCAAACGGACTCGCAAATAGATGTAAGTTGATAACTTTGGTCTACTTGCGAGTCCATTTGGCTAGGCCTTGCTGCACTTGCATTGACATGTGTTCAAATTGGTCAAGATCAAATTTTGCACGCAAGTCAATGCAAGTTTTTCACTGTTTAGCCACCCAACCCAAGTCAACTCAAGTTGAGTGATGTCCATTCGTTCTCATAGCAGCCTATTAGCCAATGAAATACAGGACATGTAACCTTGAAATGGGTTTTTGTATACATCTTGCACATCCTTGCGAGGGAACTTGCAAGTCCATTTGGCCACACAATGTAAGTCTCTAGGCAAGTTCAACTTGCGGCTACTTACAACTACTCGCCAGTCCATTTGGCCGGGTGTTGCTAGGGCTGGCCAAGCGTTGTTAGGCAAGCTAACTTTCTCAAGAACATAACAGAGTGAACCCAGTCTGGGCTTGATACTAGGCACTGGGCATTACACATAAGGCCACCGTACCTTGAGTAATTGAAAGATGTCCCAAAAGTAAAAATGAATATAAAACAAAACAAACGGAATTGACTGACTGTTTGTTCTTTTCCTTTTAGTCGCACGTGCCCGGTGTGTAGACACCCATTGTACAGCCCAGCTTCAGAGTGAAGAGCCTTCGTTTCCAAACAAGCTCTTACTTGATGTCAAACTATTTGATGTCACGGATATTCAAGATCAGAGAGAAAAATACAGTCTCTAGGATGAAGCAAGGCAAATGGCAAATTGGGAACATAAAGAAGGCCATTCCCGTATCTTGATTAAGGAGGATTGTTGTGTTAAATTGAGATGAAGCTACTGGGTGCCACTACCGGTGTGATCTTTGTTGATTTTCGTGTCCTCTCAAAGATCGCCTTTTGTCGGGTTAACTCCTGCTTTCCAAACTGTTTGCAGTTAGCGCCACGTCACATCTAATATTACCACTCAGAATACAAACTCTGACCTATATTAAGATGACTAGTGACGAAGGAACAGCAAAAAGAGCTGGCTTGGAAAGACAGACCGGACTACCAATGAGCAAGCTCTCTGTCTCTTGAGCTCACAATTTCAGACTGGTGTCTTTGGCGTGAAGTCAAAGGATTACAGCATTGAGACAATGATAAGATACTTAACTCTATCTTTTTGCTAAATATAGGTGATTACTTTGATGAAGAAACAATAGAAAGTAATTACTTCGTTCAGTTTAATGGGTGATTTTGTGCTGTTATCCACTAAGGCAAATTCGTTGATGGCGTTGGCCATTAATCCCGTTCATTTTGTTTGGAAAGTTTTTCTTTGTTATTGTTCATTGTTCAACATTGTAATTTCTGAGAAAGAAATTCAGTTTATATCATGGCTATTTCAATAATATTGTGTTATTATTATATCCCAGTCTTAAATTTATAGGCACCAGATTTCTCTTTCTAATCTATGAGAATTTCAACAAATATTTATTCAAATTATTCAATCATTCATTCTCATAAAATACCTCTAAATACTTTATTTCATTATTCATCACCCTTATGTATGTAAGTATGAAAATACTACTTTGTTTGATTAAATACAGTGGTGGTTGAAGGCTTAATGTGATATTTTATTTTGATGTGGTAAATTTTTTGTGGCTTTTCTTTTCTTTAGTCTTCCTTTCCTTTTCGATTATTTTTTCACATTATTTTTCCCTTCTCACTCAACTGAGCGAAAACAGGAACAGCACTGATGGGATGTGGTTGTCCTAAAAAGCGTCCAGTTGCGTTTTTATTTTTCATACAGCTGTGTAATTTTTCTCCGCAAAGTGGCGCGAACTTGTAAGCTGTGTACAAGTTGTAATTGTCATTGTTGTGATAAGGAGATTGCAGACAGACGAAAAACTGTCCTGCAGAGAATACATGGCCAAGCAATGTTAGAAATGAACCGCAAATCAGAATATTGAATCTTAGATCCAATATGCTGTATACAACATATTTCTGATTTTGCCTTACGTTCACAGTCAAGCGTTATGAGACATTGAACAGTCGGCAAACATTAATCTGGATTCTATAGTTTCATGTGACTTCATTACTTTGTGCATTTACTAGACAATAAGCCATGTTCAAGTTCATGTGCACAACCTTTCAAATGAAAATCAGTTTTTCTTGCATGCCCATTGTCTTGCCAATCAAACTCATTTCCATGTGAAAGGTTGAGCACCAGGACTCGTTTTGAAAAAGACGTAAAATTTAAGAAGCAACTCGGAAATGGCTTATTGGCCTACATGGTGGTTGCTCTATTTTTTGCTGCTACATTGTGCTTAGCAGAAGCTGACCATGGTTGCAATTTTTGGCTTTCAGTTTGGATGCTTACCGTGCTTTCGTCATGGAAAGCTTTCTACCCAAGCTAGAAGGCGACGTTTTAGTGAGAGTCCGCAACAACATTTGGGAACTAGGGTAGATTTTTGTAGACTTGTCCTTTTGTGTTTGTCTGGCTTCATGAAAGCTAAAAATTTAGAGACTGGAGCAAATTTTCAGATTGCATTCAAAATGTTTGTACAAACTTGGGCTGGTGTTCACATGGTTACCAAGAAGCTCAAGGAAGCTTAAAGCCATGTGGTGAAATTTAAAGTACGTTAAGGAGAAGTTTAACAAGTTCATTGTGTTGAGATGGAGTGATGTGAGTGCGGTATTTGGTATAATAACTGATTAAGCTCTCAAATTTTGAAATCTTTAGTTTCAAATGAAAGTAAAAAGAGTGATTGAAAATTGAAGGTCTGTATGAGTTGATCATCCTCTCTTGATAGAGTTTAGTAGTAGCTGTTATTGATCCACATTTAGTGCTAAAAGTTGTCAAATGAGCTAGCGCCTACATTCAAACGTAGAGACTTACTTGATGTTGAGTGGCACATTGGAGAAAGGGGAAATTTTTTTGCTAAAAGTATAAGCTAAGACCAATTGGAATCTGGTTACCTGTTACTGATTCCAGAATTTCAGTTACCGGTTATCGATTAGGCTTTCTAAAAGTTCTTTCTGACATTTCGTCCCTGGCCTGTTGGATGACTAATAAGTGATGGATTAAGCAAAGGTCGACTTGTGGCAGGGTTAGTAACCGATTTACAGTTCATTTTTTTCCCCACCCTCTTCCCCTGCTCCTTATGATTTCACAGTCGATCGCAGTTGCGTTCCCTTTGGCATGCTTTTGGAAATGCCTGCTACACTTGTTATCACAGAACTAGCATGAGTTGATGTAATGATGGTGTGAGCAAAGAGAATTTACATGGGGGTGGGCAATTTTCTGGGGCATGCATTTTTTTTTCCACCTTTACTTGTTGGTTGTGCATGATATGTTTTGGTGGGCAATAGCTTGTGCAAAATTTTTTTAAAAAGTCAAACACAGGACCTTGATAGTAGAAGGCACTTACTCTATATTTATTTTCCTCATGGCTCCCCTTGCACAAAATTTTTTTCTCAGCCTTTTTTGCTGTGCTGGAATTTATTTCTGGAAATTGCCCATTCCCGCATCATACACTCCCTCGATAAATTAATGGCCCATTACTGAAAGTTGCAACAAGCAACTAGGGACAGTGCATCAGTGCATCACGTAAGACTTTTTTTTTTTTTAATAAAACCAATTTTTTTTTCTTATGAAACTTAATTTACTCAAAGAAAAAGAACCATAATAATGTATGTGCATAGTGTGAGTCGCACCCGGGTAGTCAGACCAGCTGGTGAGCTCACACACCACTACACTATCTGGGTGCTGAGTGCCAAAACTGCAAATGTTTAGGGTCATTCCCCAGTATTGCATTGTGCATCCTTACTGCGCATAATTTATGGTGTCATTAGTGCACGTTCGTGCATCCGCACATTGAAAACATGGTGGATTTGCCTTGATATTGAGTTCTGTCAGTTGAAAAATGGCTATAACTCACTAACGAGCTTGGGCACCCCAAATTTTTTGCGAGTCATTTTAATCAACTAATCATTAGCTTTGCGTGAGAAATGACTGATCTGATTTCTATGTTTGAAAATTGAATAAATAAGAAAAACGAGCAGCTGCACTGTAGTCTTCTAGTTTGCAGTTTGATAGCTGTGGCAAGCAATTTGGCTCCAATATTTTAACAAGGATTCAGCTGTCTGTCAAAATCAAACTTAAAAAGTTTATTTGTGTCCGACACAAGTATTG